GCGAGCAGTGTCTGGCCAGCGTGCCTAGTCGCTTGCCGTGGTGTCCAGCAACGCCTGACAGTTTCCATATGCGAAAGTGTCGATGCCAGCGTGCTCAGCAGTGTCCAGTTGCGTGCGCCCGTGAGTCCAGTCACATCGATCGTGCCAGCAACACCCGATGGTCGACAGCCGTGCACAGGCGGACGCCTGTCGTGCCCAGTAGTATCCAGTCACCATTGGTTGTGCCCAGTAGCACGCCAGCTAGCTTAGTAGCACGTTAAGCGTGTGCAGTCGCTCACAAACGTGCACAGCAGCATCGGCAGTGCCCAGACCATGCACAGTCCGCGTGTGCGACCGCGCTAGGGCACCAGCAGGCCTTGCGCGAGACCGAGCCACTTAGCCTGAGCTAGCGGCTGACTGCCCGGCCACAGCGAATCGGACGTCCGGCCAACCAGCAAATTGGCCGGTCTAGACCGGTTATCCGAGTAATTTATTACTTGTTATTCCGGTTCGAGTTTATTTCAGAATTTTAGTTAACTTCCAAGCCATGTCAGTCCAGTATAGCAATACCAGTTAAGCTCAGATTTAAAATCAGTTAAAATAGAACCTCAGACTGTTCCAGTAAATTCAGTTAAATTATTAGTTAGAGTTAAGCATCTTAGCATTTAGTTTTAGTAAGTTTGACCATAGCACTTAGCATTTGTTTATTTAAATATTTTACAGTTTGAGCAGTCAGCAGATCAATCAGCACTTACGTTTTCAAACGAGCAGTACATGTGGGGACCCAGACTAGGTATTACATTGAGTATAGTTACAGATATCATGTTCGAGGTATGTATTATTACAGTATCCGCTTAGGGTGGCGACCCTAGTTCGCCATAAGTCCATCCTAAGTTCTGGTGGTGGCCCCAGTTTGCTTAATATTCCACTAGAGTGTGCACATGGTTTACGGCCCAAATTTTCCGGCAGGTTATAGTATCAGTTTCAGTATCAGTATCAGTACAGTTTCAGTTTCAGGTTATATACTGTCGATAATGATATTGTTATTATTATTGTTGTTTACTTTAGTATGGGTTTCTGCGGAGCACAGTGGCTTTTAGTGCTCACGCCCCAACTCTTTTTTTTTTTTAGAAAACAGGGTCGGGCCGGAGGTGTGAGCTCAGCTTGGTGGTTGTGGTCGTGGATTCGGTCAGATGCCGTTTTGTGGACTTTTGTATATATTTTGCTAGGTTTTTATTCCGTTGTTATTTACAGTTTTTCGAACTTGCATGTCAGTTTTTCAGATTTTGGTCTGAATTACTAGTCGGATCTGGTTTAGTATTACATGCTAGTTTGATTAAATATAATCCGTTTTTCTTTACGTCTAAACTAGCTGTTAGACTTAGATAAAGATAAACGGGTTTTTCAGAACAGAAAAGTTTTAGTAGCATCTCGATTAAATATTTCGCAAATTAATAAGTTTTTATTTGAAAAGTTTTTGCAAAAAAAAAAAAAATTGACTCTGATATTAGTAAGATAGCGGGGTGTTACACGAACCATAGCTGCGGTCTGACTGCTGGCCCACTCCGCCCGATTACCGGCCCAGGCCCTCTGCTGAACCCAGCGACAAGGTCGTCTGTGGTGATTGAGTCACGGTCAGGCTCGCCCGATGAGCCCCTTGTTGCTCCACAAGCAAAGCATGTTGATGAGCTTCTGAAACTGTACTCCAGCGTAAAGAGGTTTAGAGTGTTTCGAATCGCCAATATAACGAGATACCAATTGTTTGTTCGTCTCTCGAATATCCACGAGAAGGCGATAAAATTCATCAGTATATTCGTCCACATATCTAGCTCCTTGACGTAGGTTATGAAGTTGTTGGTACATGGTGTGAGTAAAACTGAATAGGAGAAACTCACGTTGTATATTCTTTTGAAATTTTCCCCACGACAAAAACCTCGGCTTCCCGATAAGCCACTGTATTTCCTTATGATTTTGCCACCACGAGACCGCCCGACCACGCAGACGTGTGACGACGAGGCCCACCCGGCGATCATCTGGCACTTCTTTGTTACTAGAGGATATAATCGACCGCGACCATCCAGTTGAGAAAATTTTTCGCATCGAGACCGCCCGCAAACTCCAGAATATCGATTTAAAACGAGGCCTCCCAATGTTGGTCGTCGCACCGATTCTCCTCCCGCTGAGCCACGCGTTCCCCAAACGGATTCACCTCCGACAAGGTGTCATCGTCGTCATGGTCCTCTTTACCGAATGGTGGTGACAAACGTTGGCGGGGTGCCTCACCGAATCCCCGTCCGCCTTGACCACCACGTTACCCCCAGCAACCGTCGCATCTGTCGGCCACGTCACGGTTTTCGTGCTCGCCATGCAGATTGGTGTTGAAAGCCAACGTTAATCGATCCTCGAAGTGAGTTGAACAATCAGCCGGTCGGACGCATCTAATCAGCGTATCAGGGACTCGGTCGTCGCGTCTCGTCAATCGTCAACCTCATTCCATTTCGGAGGCATCTCAGATCATAGTCGATCTCTGGATAGCAACTGGTGTAGTGTCGTACAAAGTAAGCAGGCGAGATAGAAATCTCAAGAGAAATATTTTTTTTTGTTCAATAATCACCAAAATAATTTGCGTACAAGGCAGAGAATATAAGAGTCCTAACTTCCCTCACTTGTTAGGTAACTAAACATTTATTTTCAAATAAACTAAACAAAGTTACTAAAGACTAAAGGTATAATAAGTAATAAAATAAAATAAAAAAAAAAAAAGATAAATTAATCATATTAAAACTGGGAGGCGATCGTATTTGTCCATAAAGGCCAATGCGAGCTCATCTCCATCACACAAGCTAACCAACTAGCTAAACCACAACCTAAACACAAAAAAAATACACTACAAAACACAAGAAGTAGTCCTCACCGTAGTAGACAAACTACTCCAAGCGACATCACGGCAACGCAAAAGGGCCTTCATCCAAACAAACCGAGCCCTGGAATCCGATCTAGAAACTGCAAGAAAATGCTTAGCTAAGTCCGACACCAACGGCCCGAACCCAAACCGAACATCTCAGCCCTAGCCTAGAGACCCGCACTTCAACCACCCACATTCGGCACCAAACACCAGGCCCAAAACACTAAAGCCTGGACCTCGGTTTGGCCTCGACCGCTGACCCTCTGCCCAACACCAGAAAGGAGAGGCGCACGGTGGAACAGAGGCGGACTCTCCCACCCGAACCCACCCAAAAATGGGACCGCCGCTCCACAGCGAAAAAACACCGGGACATGCCATAAGCGAAAATCACATGGCACCGCAACCCCATCCTAGCACCAGAAGTTCAAGGCGACAACCTATTCAGGGGTCCGGCGTCGCCTCCCAAAGTGAATAAAAGCCCTTACCGCCGGCGATCCTCCGGGAATCGGACCGCAAGGCCTAGGGACGCCGCCACCGAGCAACTCAGAAATACCCACCAGGGGAGGCTTCAGAAACAACAAAAGAATACGAATGGAGAAAGAGATCTGGTAGTCGTAACATAATTTTTTTTATTTTAGAGAGAGAAAGTTTTCTCTAAATGTGAATAGGAGGGAGTATTATTTATATAAAATACTAATTTAACAAGGGTGTGGGCTGGTGGGGTGCGTATTTTGAAAATGAGAGCTTGGTAGTTTTCGACTCTTGGTCTTGTACGAACAATGATATCTCCTCTTCAAAAGCAAAGTCCTCGTAATTTAAACTGATAGCAGGGCATCATCTTTGAACCTCCTCCTCTTCTGGTTGCTATTTTCGGTTAGGTAAGGATTTGTCACTTGAGTTCATACGTTCTTCCTTCCAATTCCTGAATCCTGGTAATAATCTTGTATCTCTCTCTCTCTCTCTCTTTTCCTTCCTAATTTGTGAAGTTTCCATAAATTAGACGTAGTTTTCAGATCTGTTTTTTGGACAAAATAATACGTATCCGCATAAATGGGATCGATGAGCTACGGTTTGCTCCAGATTGGAAAAGAAACAAAGTGATTAGTTCTAGCCTGGATAACAATGGTTTAGGGTCTTGGAGATATTGGGATATTAGAAAATCAATTATTATTATTTATCTGGTTCTGTTGAATTTTTCCTATTTTTCTTGTAAGGTCAGTCCAGCAAATGCATATAAACAATCACATGTATATTCCGAACCAGTTGGGAATATACTGGGTATGTTTTTTTGAGTGAAGAACATTTTCCAACACCAGTTTGCAATAGATTATGGAAGAAAATTGCAATTTGGTCCAATGGGAGTAGGCCACTTGCTAGTCTGGCCCCAAATAGACTAACATTGCACAATAAATCATCAGGCATGGTTGCTGTGGTTGCCGTTGGATGTTGTCCATCGTCGCTAGATGAGTCGGCTCCTTTGTTGGAGAAAAATGAGAGCTGCATCACCCATTCTTTTTTCGACCCCTCTCTTCCAAGAAAATGTTTTCTCGCCTATTCTGCCAAATTGAAATATATATGCAATGTAGTATAGAAGTGGTAACCAGGAAAGAAGATCCCATACATATGTGAATTCTCTAATTAATAATGGATTTTGGGTTTTGCGATTGGGAAGATAGGTCTATGTGGAAACTACAATACTGGGGTCTGTTGAGAAAATTGATACTTTGGAGGAGGAGCTGGTCGGCTAGAGGAACTACCAGCATCTAGTAAAGGCAAAAATTTTAAGGGATCGTCAATGCGAAGCATTTAAACTTTTGGTAGACTATCGGAGAGCAGCCGGTGAATTCAGAGTCTAATATGAATCTCTTGATTAATTTTATTTTGTTTTTCTTATCAATGTCTAAAATCTGTGAGGGATACATGGTTGTCCTTCACAATTGCAACGATAAATCAAGTAGGGTAACTATTTGCACACCTCAATGGTTTTGTTAGTAATTTGGAAAGATAATTAGCTCCATTTGTAATTAGACTAAACGTCGGGTGTAATTTGCAATCAACCCCTCCTTTTATCTGACTTTTATATCTCCCCTTTTTTTCTCATCCCTGCAGGCCCCTCATGCTGCGTGACGTGGTAGGAACCGTGGGTGTATTAGTTCCGGTGAAGGACCTCTCCAAGAATAGAAGGGCTATAGGTTCCATTATTGCAAGCCATCTCTTAACCCGCCTGTCCCAAATAAAGGTCTGTGAGTGTGGTTACTTACTCTCGGTCACCAAATTGCTCAACATATCACGAGGCCAAATCCCGTTCGGCTCCCACCACATTGCTTTTACAGTTGAGTTCCGTTGCCGGACCTTCCTGCCCGTCCAAGGTGAGATAATGAATGGGGTCGTGCACAGGATAATGAGGCACGGCGTGTTTCTTAGGTCTGGGCCCATGAACATTATATACCTGTCTCTCAGGCTGATGCCAAATTACCATTTTGTCCCCGGCGAGAATCCGGCCCATGTCCGGGAGGACATGTCTAGGGTTGAGATTGGTGTTGTGGTTAGGTTCATGGTTTATGCTGTTAGGTGGGTAGAGGATGATGAGCTGAAGGAGGCCAGGGTGCTGGCGAGTATAGACGGGGATGGGCTGGGCCCACTGTCTTTGAACGGTCTCGATGGGGTTGAATTATAGGTGCTTTACGGGTTTTGGTTGGACTTGGTTCCAGTTGATTGCGGGAAACCTTTTGAGATATTGTATTGTTGGGTGAGTATAAATGCAAAGGAGTTGTGGAGGTACTAATAATACAAAGTACCCAGGTTTAGCTGATATTTTTTTTTTTTCCTTTAGAAAAAGGTATCTTTTTAGTTACGAATACGACCTTTACGAAAGAGATGGAAAATTTCGTTGTTGAGGTAACTTGAGGTTTATTTTTCGTAATCACCCCTTAGTTATGTAAGCCATAGTTTCTGGGTGTCTGGATTGTGGCTAAAGGAAAAAAGTGGAGGCTGTGTGGTTTTTTTGCAGAACTTGGCAACTAACTCAACGAAGAGGTAACGCAATCGAACCTGGGTGATACTCGTTTGCTTGGAAATAAGCAGACATGTGTTTGAGCTCTGGCATTAGCAAAAATCAGTGTTCGATTTACAAATCTCTGTATACGAATACGACGTTGAAGTTTCCTCATTAAGAGAGTTGTTTGTATGGAGTTGGTGGATATTTGTGTTTTTAAGTATGTGAGTGTAGGAGCAAACGAGTTGTGCTGGGTAGTGATGTTCTTGGTGGCTTCTTCTCTGTTTCTTTTCTGTGATATTGTATTTTCCCTTGAAGATCTACCATGTTGGAAAAATGACACGCAGGTTTGGTGTGCATTTTCCTTGTAAAATCACAATTAACAAATTTATACAATAAAAAATGGTATAGAATCCCCTTATATATAATTTTCGAACGTGTTTTGCCTAAGTGGCAGACTTCTATGCGTCGCGATTTTATGTGGCAAAATTTCATGTTTTTTTATTTGGCTTGTATATATTTTAATTTACTCAGGTTTGGATTATCATAAATATGTAGATTAGTTATGATCATTTTAGACGTATTACTTGCATTTTAATATCATTTGCTATTATAACAATTGAATTGGAAATGTTTTTTTAAAACTTGTTAACTTTTGTATTTTTTTTTTATCAATTTTAAATATATAATATATCAAATTAATCATCTCTCAAAGAGTTTCGCTTTGACATCCTATATGTATAAAATAAATAAATTATATTTACCACTGTACAAATAATAATAAAAATATTTTTTAATATTAGTTAGAATAATATTAATTAGAAAAATTAAATTATTATCAATTAATATATTTTTTTAAAGTTGTTATATTATATATAAGTTAGAAAAATTATTATAGTATAATATATGTAAATCGTATAAGTAACAAGTGTCATTCTAAAATATATAATAAAATATAATTTTTGTAAAAAAATATTTGAATTTTAAAACACTTTTTCTCATTAATTTTAAAATATAAAAATGTTTGTTTAACAAGCCTCCGTGTAATACACAAGTGTGTACTAGTTAAAAATATATCACTTAGCACTAATAACATGATTGGTATGGTGTAATGGAATTTAATAAGAACGAAATGAGTTAGAGAATAAAATGATTGTGGGAATTGAATGAAACAAATTTTTTTTTTTTTTTTCCAGTGATGTGTTTGGTATGCAAAAGTAATAAGACGTAAATGAAGTGATATTTTCATTCTATATTATTATTTATCACTATTTTATAAAAAACAATAATAACTTCAATATTTCTACTAATATTATTTTTTATATAATTAACTTAAATAATTATATAATTTCTATATAGTTTTACTTTTAAAAAATCATATAATTATTTATATTAATATATAATAATATATATATCAATACTAATTTAAAATAATAAATGAACCTAAAATGATCTTATAAATTAAATTATAAATCCATGTTAGACCAATTATATCAAGCATACAATAACATAAGATAAATCTGCAGTATATTTTTCTTAAATAAACTTGAAATATTCAAGCTAAGGAACAAGTAAAAAATGGATGTAAACATATAACTATTGCAACATTGACTATTTGAATGAAAATGAGAAATAAATGAATTATATGTTGAACTAGAGAAAATTCCATTACAAGACCGATCTTTTTGGACTTGAATCTGGTATCAAAAAGACCTTCGACCGGCTAGAACAAGTTGGAAACACCTGGATCTCGAGCTTGTCGCCAGTTGAACGTCCTCGAACCTGCAAAACTGTCGCGCAGAGCCGTCCCAGGCCCAGGGCAACTTGGGCTACGGCCTAGGGCACCAATTAAAAGAAGGGCACTATTAATTTACTATATTTTATATATATGCATTGTATATATTTTTTTGTACGAATAATAAGATTCAAGAAGTCCACTAATAATCTACATTCCTGACCCAAATAAAAAGGTTTACCACTCCACTAGACTAGACTCTAGTCCACTATAAACAATATACACAGTTCTACACATCAAACAATCTCAGCACCAGTGCTACTACCGTGTGCGTTGGCACACCTAGCAAGGTGTGCCAAGACAGTTTAAAATGAACATGTTACTTTATAAAATAAATGTGTAAAACATGTTCATTTTATAAAGTAACATGTTCATTTTAAAAAAGCCTTGGCACACCTTGATAGGTGTGCCAAGGTACACCTAAGTATTTGCAATCTCAGCACATTCTTGCGTCGACTTATCATTTTCCCTATATCTCTCATTCCAAAATTTCAATGGTCAAGGTAATTAGTCTTATAGATTATTTTCAGTCTTTATTTTTCATACTCAGATTCAAATTCAATCCATATTTTTTAATCTACTTCATTTGCTAGTATATTGTGCTTCAATCATATTCATCACTCGACACTCATCAGCAATATTGAATCTTTTCTTTATTTTGAAAAAAAAATTTGATCAATTAACATTTTTATGGCCCTCTCATTGACGAAAAGTCTGCTATCCGTTTGTCGTCTACCTCGCTTGTGCCGTCTGCCTCGCCCCCCTCCGTCACAATGGGGCCGAACTTCACCACGGTTCGCGGCTTCCGGCGACCGCAACATGGTGAACAAAAAGTGGATCTTTTGGTTTATATATTCTTGATTTTTAGTTTGATATCTATTTTCTAAATTGGCAATTTAAGTTAATTGCTTTGCTTGCTGTGATTTTATTTGTTTACTTGTTCTGATAATTTATTTATTTGTTTTTTTGTTTGATTCAGCATTTGACTAGGCACATATTGTAAGATCAGTATGTCTTTATCATACTAGTTTTGAGATGTTAATATGTTTAAAAAATACATCACCAATGAGTGGGTACATGTCAATATGTCCACCGCGTAAGTGACATCCACTCATTGGTAATGTTAATATGTTTAAAAAAATACATCACCAATGAGTGCATGCCACCAACGCGGTGGACATATTAACATGTGCCCACCGTGAGTAGGTGAGCATTTCTCTCTATTTAAGATAAACTAGTACAACACTCGTGTATTACACGGGTGCTTGTTAAAAAATTATTCTTGAATTTTAAAATTAATGAGAAAACTCTATTAAATTTAGTTTACTTTTTTTTACCAAAAAAAATATATTACTATATATTTTAGAATGATATGTGTTACTTATGACTTACATGTGTTATATTATATTAGTTTTTATAACTTATATCATATAACTACTTGAAATATAAATATATTACTTGATAAATAATTTTATTTTTTTAATTAATATTAAAAATAATTTTATTATTGTTATAAAGATAAATATAAATAACTACTTCAAAAGGCTCAAAAGATAAATTTTAACATATTCTCATAATTACCTGCCATAAGATATTGGTAACAATTCCGCAAATTGGTATGCATGCGTATTGAAAATTAGAAAGATCATAGAACAAATATTGGTTAATAAAATTTATAATTTGTATTTTATTTCTAGAGATTTAGTTGATAAATTTGAATGATAAGGCACCCGAAAACAAATTTAGAGAATTGAGATAATATTGATATATATATATATATATTATATGTATTTGAAATATATAAGAGAATTTATTTTGTAATCGAAATTTGGGTTTCAAATTTAAATGTTAAATAAGTAATTATCCATAATTTACGGGTCATTATTAACTTCGATGTTAATGGAATATTCAATTATTTAAAATTAATTTGTTATTCAACTACTTAAATTTTTTTATTTGGATAGTTTATAAAAAATAAATTCATTTTAATTAATAAAAAAAATATTTTTTATAATTACACTTATTATTCACGTAGCTTTTTTAAATATATGATAAAATTTTATCAATATAATTATTTAATTTATAAATAATAATGAATATCTTTTACCCTTGCATCGCACGAGATTCATACTAGTCTTTACGAAAAGTCATGTCAACTTAATAGTTAAATATTTTTTTTATCCATGTTTATCTATCTACAAGTGTCATATTTATTTAATCGGTTTTGCTATGAATCAATCAGATGGCTTGGTTTATGGAGTCATCCATTGTTATTCACAAATGATGTATTGACACGTGTCCTACAATAAATGCACATTGGACATGTGTGAGTACATAAAGTTATGGATGACTCTATAAGGGAGCCATCCGATTGCTCCATAGATTTTATGTTATTTAATTAAGAATGTTATTTTCAGAAATTAATTTTTATTATTTCATATTGTTCAACCTAATTGACGATTTACTTTGTCCATATTTATCTAATTACAAAATCTTTTAAAGTTTAAAAAGAATCTCATATTATGTGAATTCTTGGTACCTTTTTTTGTACACATCATTTTTCATCTCATACTCAAATTACAAATGTTAATGCGAATCTTGAATATCTTATATATATTAAATATGTATATATATATTATATATATATATATATAGGGGGAGGATCCAATGAGTACACTCCTTAAAATGAGTACACTCCTTAAAATGAGTCCACTCCTTAAAATATATATTAATTAAATAATAAAAT